TGACTTGTTATCTATGTAAATGGTTGTAGCTTCATCTTGAGGTATGCGCAGCATCTCCAACAACTTCCTTAGCCAAATTGCATGACAGACACATGATGCAGCAGAAACAAATTCAGCTTCACAAGTAGAGAGAGTTACGATGGGTTGCTTTTTGAACACCAAGTGAAAGCAGTGTCACCCAAGAAAAATAGAAAGCCGGTGGTGCTTTTCTGATCATCAACATCACCACCCCAGTCACTATCACTGTAGCCATAGAGTTTGAAATTTGTGGAAAAAGAATAAGTTAGGCCATAATCAACAGTACCTTTGATGTATCGAAGTACTCTCTTTGCCATCGTCATGTGTGTTGAAGTAGGTGCCTCCATGTATCGACTCACAAGACCAACACCATAGAGAATGTCTGGCCGTGTGCAAGTCAAATATCTCAAATTTCCAACAAAGCTTCTACACAGAGAGGGTCCACCTTTGTACTTTCATCGTACTTTGACAATCGAGTTCCACAAGCAATGGGGGTGCTTACCGGCTTGCAATTTTCCATTTCAAATTTCTCGAGAACTTTCTTTGCATAAGCTTCTTGAGAAATAAAAATCCCATCTTCATTTTGCTTTACCTCAATTCCAAGGTAGTAGGACATGAGACCAATGTCGGTCATCTCAAATTCTTGAGTCATTGCCTTCTTAAATTCCTCAAACATGTTTGCATTATTGCCGGTGAAGATCAAGTCATCAACATACAAGCACACTAGCATAAAGCCTCCAGTTTTGTTTTCTTTGATATAAAGAGCATGTTCATGTGGACATTTGGTGAAGCCATGGTCTTGGAAATATTTGTCAATGCGGCTATACCATGCCCTTGGCGCTTGCTTCAAGCCATATAATGCCTTCTTCAATTTCAAGACTTTTTCTTCATGTCCCTTGACAACATATCCCAATGGTTGTTGAACATACACTTCCTCTTCAAGATAGCCATTCAAGAAAGCGGACTTAACGTCCATTTGATAAATTTTCCACTTGTTTTGAGCTACCGAGGAGATAATCAACCGAATGGTTTCCAAGCGAGCAACAGGGGCAAAAACCTCATCATAGTCAATGCCATATTCTTGGATATAACCCTTTGCAAGAAGCCTTGCCTTATATTTCTCCACTTTCCCTTAAGCATTTTTCTTCACTTTGTACACCCACTTCACGCCAATTGCCTTTTGCCCTTCCAGAAGAGTCACCAGCTCCCATGTGCCATTCTTTTGGATTGCTTTAATCTCTTCATCCATTGCATGCTTCCATTTCTTATCTACTACTGCCTCTTCAAAATTTAACGTTTCGATGTCAGCAAAGAGACAAAAGAAACTTGGATTATCAACCACCTCAGTTTCTTCATAAATATCGACAAGATTTTTTGTGCGTAGTGGCCCTTCAGAAGAACAATCCTCAAGTGATTGAGATCCATGAGGAAAGTGAGGTGGAGTAGCAACATCTTGCCTTGTGTCTTGTTTGGATTCTCCTTCTTGCTAAGGAAAGATGACATATTCTTCATTTTGAGAGACATTCCAATCCCATGAGCTTCCTTCATCAAACTCAGCATCTCTATTGATTACAATCTTCCCATTGGATGGATTGTAGAACTTGTAGCCTTTGGAGCTTGAATCATAGCCAATGAAGACAAATTTCTCACTTTTTCCATCAAGCTTTGATCTCTTCTCATCTGGAACATGAATAAAAGCAATACTTCCAAAAACACGAAGGTGAGAAACATTAGGCTTCTTACTACTCCAGGCTTCTTGCGGTGTCATACCTTGAACACTTTTTGAGGGAGAAAGATTAGACAAATACACAGCACATGCCACTGCTTCTGCCCAGAATTCCTTGGGCATATTCTTGCTCTTAAGCATGCTTCGAACCATGTTAAGAAGGGTTCTATTCTTCTGCTAACTTCACTTTTTGCCTTCAAAAAATAAACCCAAGTCTTGTGAGAAAAATCATCAATGAAGAGCAAGAAATAATTAGCTTTACCATATGATGATGGTTTGATTGGTCCACACACATCTGCATGAACCAGTTGGACTGGCTTGGATGCTCTAAAAGTGGCCTCCTTTGGAAAGCTTTTTCTAGCTTGCTTGCCAAAAAGACATCCCTCACAAAGCTGGTTGGGGTGATAAATTTTGGGCAACCCATTCACCATCTCTTCACTTGCTAAAGCCTTCAAGCCACCAAAGTTCAAGTGACCTAGTCTCAAGTGCCAAAGCCAAGAAGCTTCTTCAACACAAGTCTTCAAGCTTCTTGGATGATCCACGTGAACATTGAGCAAAAACATTCTATTCTTCTCCATAGGTATCTTCATAACCAAGTTGTGTCAACCATCTCTCAAAGTAAGGCAACCATCCTTCAAATGAATGCCATACCCCATCTCAAGTAATTGTCCCAAGCTCAAAATATTAGATTTCAAAGTAGGCACATAATAAACTTGAGTAATTAAAAGGTGACTTTCATTTTTCGAACGGATGAGAACATCACCTTTGCCTTTGATTGGGATTTTGGGATCATCTCCAAATATAATGTTGCCTTTCACTGCCTCATTAAGAGTTGAGAACAACTCTTTGTTGCCACTCATGTGATTAGTGGCACCTATGTCAAGGTACCATGCTCCGGTATCTCTTTCTTCTTTAGTTGCCATCAACAGCAGCAATTCTTCTTCTTCTTTTGCTTCAACATAATTAGCCCTCTCCTCATTGTTGGTGGAGGAACTCCTACATTCATTGGCATAATGGCCATATTTGTGACAAGCATAACATTGAATATTGGACTTGTCATACCTTCTTCCACTTCCTCTCTTTGAACCATAATTTCCATGTCCTCGTGGTTGATTGCTCAACCCTTCATTGTTAAAATTTTGGCCACCTTCATTTCTTCCTCGGCCACAGCCAAAATTTCCTCCTCGACCATGACCACGACTTCAGCCTCGACCTCGACTTTGACCTCTTCCTTGAGATCGTCCATGCTCTTGCTCTTGTTCTCCCAAAGAAACCTTAGTTTGGAGAACTTGGGCCACCGGTTCTTGCTTCGTTTTAAGTCTTTCTTCATATGCTTGCAAGGACCCCATGAGTTGATCAAGGGTCATGGAATCCAGGTCATTTGATTCTTCAATGGCAACACTCACAAACTCAAGTTTTGAGTCAAGTGACTTGAGAATCTTCTCCACAACACGTACATCTTCAATCTTCTCTCCATAACGCTTCATTTGATTGACAATGGAAGACACTCTAGTGAAATAGTCAAAAACAGATTCAGACTCCTTCATATGTAGAGATTCAAACTCACCACGAAGAGTCTGAAGGCGAACCTTCTTCACTTTGTCAATTCCTTTAAAATTATTCTCAAGAATCCCCCAGGCTTCCTTAGCCTTTGTTGCAGTAGCAACTTTCTCAAACAGAGCTTCATCCAAGCCCATGTGTATGATAGAGAGGGCATGTTGATCTTGCTTTCGAAGCTTCTGCAAAGCATTCTTCTGATTTTGATTCAAGACTCCTTCATTCTCTGGTTCATCATAGCCTTTCTCAACAACCTCCCATGCTTCCTGTGAGCCAAGCAATGCCTTCATGCGGATACACCAATGTCCATAATTCTCCTTTGTAAGTTTGGGAACTACAAAGGGAAAAGTACTATTCATCTTTGGAAGTTAGCTCTGATACCACTTTGTTGGAAATAAAGATTTGGGAGGAAAGACTAGAGAAGAACACAAGAAGAAACTTTCCAGAAATGCTTCCTTATTCTTGGCTTGGATATATCAATGCTCAAGTACAAGCACAAGCCATTTTATAGGCACAAAAGACTCCAAACCCAAAACAGTTAAATGCAACTCCTAGAAACTGTAAAGATAAAATAAATGAGTACATGAACTATGCTAGCACATGAACTATGCAGGTACATGACTAAAAATAGGAGATTAATAAATCAAGTTTATTTTTCCAACAACCCTATATGGGTGGTTAAATTAAAAGAGCACAAAACTTTGATTTGATCCAAGAAAAGAAAGAAAAAATGGTTATTTGGAGGTATGAGAGAGGAAGATGAAGATGGCTACCAAAAACACAGGGAAAACGAGAAGAATGAAACCAGGAGGTTGCAGCTGTCCCTTTCCCGGGGGAGCGAAAAATAGCACGGTGGCCACCACCAGCGTTGCCATCAGTGAACGGATGGCCTACCCACCTTCTTCCTCTTCCATGATGTCTAATTCCGCCACTAACATAAATAGTGTTTGGTCTTTGGTGTTCCTTGAAGAAGAGTCCTATTTCCATATCATTAAACAAAGTGGTGTGTTGCCGTTTGGTGGTGTTAGGCCACACCACGCAAGAAGGCGAGTTAAGATTTCTCCGCAGGTGGAATATGCCATGTGTTTTAACTTAATTTTTATTATTGAATCAAAGAATCATTAAAAATTAACTAACAACTTATTGGTTTAAATAGAAAAAAAAATTTAATCTTCTTTAAATAATGGTTTGAGTTTAATTCTTGTGAATAAAAAAAATAAATACTGTAAGAGTTTTCTTTTATGGGATCCGATAAAACAATTCTGAATTAATCCAAATCTATTATAACTTTTACATACTGAAAGTTAATTAAAAAGATTAAGTATTAAATTAATGTTTTTTTTTTTATATATAGTTTCAGTTTCAACCAAATATATAAAGGAATCATGTTTCTTGATTAAGGGTTTATACGGACCGCAAGATCTGAATTTTTGCTTTTGGGAGGAATTTATTTAACAACAAAAAAGAATCCCAACAATAAAAAATAAAAATAAAAATAAATAAAAGAAGAAGAAACAAACAGAGAAAATTTGAATGCCCAATAATTCATTGTGCCGCTATGACCATTTAAAAAAACAAGAAAAAGCCGAACTCCCCCACACGACCCACTGGTTGGGCTGCGCTCGTCTATGAGGAATAGGTGGAGATCACCCACGTTTGAGTCTTCCTGCTTACTGAACAGATACTAATTTCTAATTATTGTTTCTATTGTCGAGAAAAAAAAAAAAAATGGGAAGTCATGGGGTTGGTGGAATCTGCAATGGAGGAGGAGGAGCCACTGCACTTGTCGTTAAACTCATGTAAGCCCTCTAAATTCTGCCGCGTGTATTACCCAAAGTGCAATTTCCATATTTGCATTCCATAACCTGTGATAACTCATTTTTTGCAGGCCAGCTGCAAGAGTGTGATGTTCCAAGTTATAAAGTTGAAGTGTAGCAGGAAGACACTTTGTTGAGTGTATTGTTCTTACTCCTTGATAGTGTAGCAGTTCCTTCTTTCATGCAAAAGCTAAGTGTACAAAGAGACTGAAGTCTTTATTAACCTAAAACATTTGCTGTGGGAGCAGGTACCTTTTTTTGATCTTAACATGTGATTAGGGTAATTTAGTACATGGCCATAGTGGCAGCTAAGAGAGCGAAAATGATTGAGAAGAGTTTTACTGAGGGAGGCATGCTGCCACTGTCCTTACGAAAGAACAGCCCTTTGTACACCGGTAGGTTTAGGCAAACGAAGAGGCCATTTAAAAGCATCTGCAAAGCAAGTAGGTCGACGGCCTTGTTATGGACTATAACCCTTTTTATTGCCCCAATGCAGCTGAGCAAGTTGAGCATAGCCAGTGTTGCTATAATGTTAAACATAGGTGATCTCGTGCCAAATTCCATGACCTCTTGCTTATATCTCTGAGACACACCCTCATCCACCACCTTGTCCGTTATGGCAAATGTTGCCTTAGATAATCCCAGTAGCTTCAAGACAGTGCTAAGGGTGCCAAATAAGTATGAAGTTGTTCTTTTGAACATCCAAATCCTTTGCTCATTCCACCACCCCTGAAATGTGCCTCCGCAGCGTAGAAATTCCCATAGGCTGTATGCTCGGCTTGCAAGGACCACACAGGGAAATGGTAGGACCCAAGGGCTTGATATCTGATGATTTGTTAAAAAAATCATACAATTCTTAGCAGCTTAGTGATTAGTTGGGATTCATAAATAATTTTGGATTTTGTGAAGATGAAATCCATACCTGTGGAAATAAAGCTATGCCTTTGAGGAGGCAAAGGGATGGCACAACAACATAGTATAGCATAGCCAAACTGTTGGGAGCCCATAGGTTGTAGATACCGTATGAAAGTTGAAGTTTCAAAGGGATCCTTTTATGTCCATAAACCAAGGGGCAGTATTTAGATAGGAAAATCTGAAATTCTCCTTCAGACCATCTCTTGTGTTGTATTAGGTTCTGCATAAGAGTGGTGGGAGCAACGCCTAAGAAGGCCTTCCTTTGTGGAATGAGTAGACGGATTTCCAACCTCTGCATTTTATAGACAGTCCCGTGATTATGTCCTCTACTGCACAGCCATATTTCAAACCCATCTGCAAGTCAACTTATTGTCATCAATCATGTCAAAATAACACACTGCAGAGAAATATATATGCATCCTGGTGTTCACTTCTTATAGAAGAATAAATACCTCCTTCCCCCACTCTGTGTTCTTCTCAAATGCACAACTTGCAAGAGATTTGCATGATTCTTCTAGGGCACTAGAACTTTGTTTGCTGTTCCTATCGTTCTCTGATCTCCATTCAGCCTTGAATTCCTTGCTGTACTTCTTCCCACAAAGTGTCTCTCTCCGGTGAAAGCATCCTGTTCCAATATAGCAAGGCCCTCCATTGCCATCAAATCCCGAAAGTTCTACCTTGATTCAGGTATATACATGAAAACATTAGCTCGTTATAAGCTTTGGATATTCTAAAATTCAATTCATCATTTACTTTATTAACGCCGATTCACCTCCATTATTACTCTCAGGGAATTGCCGTAGATCTCATTCTGAGTGATGTTATCGAAGTTCTGTGGATATTGCACGTAAGCAATCTCATGCCCTTTCTCTTGATCCAGAAAAAAGCAGAGAGCATCTCTGATTGATTCGGAATTATTTGAATACATGTCACAGTCAACATTAAGAATTACTGGTCCATTGCTTATCCTTGAGGACACCCTTATCTATCAATTCATGGTGGAAGATAACATATCGATATCAAAGTTAACCTCATCATAATCACAAATTAAAAGCACAAGATATATATACAGATAACTAGTTACCAAAGCATTCATGGCTCCAGCTTTGAAATTATGGTGATATTGAGGCCTCTTTTCACGTGCCAAGTATACCAGGGTTGGCAAGGCTTGTCCTTGAACATCCACGGCTTCAGGATCTCTTCCATCAATTAATATCTACGCAAATTAAGCACCTAAGTTTCTTTACTTATATATATGTACACACACGAAGAGTTTTTTTTTTATTTAATAATTTAAGTTGTGCAATCAAAATAGTAAAACAAGAACTTTATACATTAGCCAAGACATTTATTAGAAATTTATCAGGATCTCTTTGTTTTCTTTGGAGGATGTATCAAATAAATGTAAAGATTTCTTACTTGAATTATGGTCTTGTGGTCTTGTCTGCTTGCAACCAAGTCCCACTCACGGAATCCCTTGTGTTGTTGACGCAGGTTATCTGAAATTCTGCCTAACTTTGTCGTGGTCTCGATACGAATCTTCATGTCTTCATATAATTTCTAGTATCATACAAATGTAGCCAATTATGTATGTTCTTCGTCGTCAATAATTGAGGTGGGCGCAAATGGTTAGTTAACCAAATGGTTAATTAAAAATTAATTAAAAAATAACTAAATATTAAGATGCATTTAGAAAAAATTTTGGTTGATTATTGGTTAAGGATTTAAAAACAAAAAACCAAAAATATAACCAAAAAGTAAAATTTTGTATTAATAAATAAATAATTATTATTTGAATATTTTAAATAAAGATAAAAATAGACACTGATATAGAGAATATTTTTGTATAATCTCTTTATATAATTTTCAAGTATCATTAAATAATTGAATGCATTTAATATAATATATCTTAAATAAATAAAAATAATTAATTATTTAAATAATACATAAAATTCTACCAAAAAATAGTATAAAAATATTGTTCCTAAATTATTTT